TCACTTAGACCATGTCATCAAACACATTCGGAATGGATCTGGGATCGTGCTGAGTTACTCACTCATTACGTGGTACTAAATAGGTCTCGGAGGGAGTTTGAGGGATCAGTCAGCCCATATACTTACAGTATCGTTATCCCCATTGATCGAATTCATTCAGAAGTCAAGGGGTCAGTGTTGGACCTATCCTAAGTACTTCAAGAAGAAGTTCTATGGGGCAGTTGTCCCATACATACATACATCTTCACTAGACTTAGTTTTGCAAACCTTTTAATTTTGAAATTTACCGATACATCTTCACTAGACTTAGTTTTGCAAAGTAGTCCGACTTGCTCATCTTGACAGCTACAACATTAGCATCCGGCCTACTTACATCACCTCTGTGTCAAGGGCATTTAAGCCTTCCAAGGTATCGTTTTGCCAAGATATTACTTATTGGTTGTCAACAATTGATAGACGACATTTAGTGCTTAGATATGGCTTGGCGTTTCATTTGTTTCTTTGGAGCAGGTTAAATTTAGGAGAACATTACGAGACGTCCTTTGACGGCGATGGAGTAAAATAGTTGACCACGGCCACCAAAACTCACCTATTTCTGCCTGAGTGAACACCACTCAAGTTTCTCGACCACTTCACAGCACCTCCGGTGACTGTAAATGATCAGACAGTTGTCGTGGGTGGCGCTCAATGGACGTTACTGCCATGTGGCTGTGCAAACTTGGCCTCTGGGAGCATAAACTGTTGACCAGACCCTAAAATTCCCCAGTAATCTTCCATATCGTCTGATTATTATGTATTCTTCAATGGCCATATGTTGCTTTGTTAGTTTTAGTTTCTTTTTGCTCCGCATCCAGCCAGCTGAAGTAACACCCAAGGAAAGTACACTGGCTACTCAATCTTTGCATTCGTTTCTCCAGACTATCTAGCATCTTGAAGCCTGGAATGTCCAAAAACATATGTTTGTTCACAGTTGGCCGCGACAGCACCAAGGCCTAATAACAACTCCAAACCCAGAGTACCTTCAGTGCACAAGCCATTTTTTTTCAGAGTAGCAAAATATTTTCCCCTTGGCAAGGTTCGCTTAGCTAGACTCAATGCGAGCTGAAAAGAAACGATCGGTTTTTCGACTTTAGGACCAAAATGTTTGGAAAAGCGACTGTGAATTCGATTATCCGCTAGCAATTAACAGTTGATTCCCAGATGTTCATCTCAAAATCCCTAAAAAAACACTTGCTATTTACCGTCCATATGTACCGTTTCAGGACGCGCATTTTTTCAACGACTTTGCATAATTCCAGAGTTTCATGCTCACCGGATACTTACACATCCCAAATTATTTCTTCTGAGAATGACAACTTTTATTGTGCGAAAATGAGGAAACAGCTCTAAAAATTACTGTGTTTGCATCACATTTTGGCATAAACCAATGTCGTTTTCTCCGTAATCTGTTTACAAAAGGTGAGTTTTAATTTTCGGATAGATCATCAGTGGAAAAACCCTCATCCCAACGAGCGTTATCTTTCCAAATCAGCGGATTCAACGCCGCGTCCAACGGAAGTTTGTTCTGAGGAATCCGAAGCTAGCTTCCATTGAGCTGTCATTTTTCAAAATTGACATTCTGCGGTGTTTAGTTTGCGAACCGGCAAAAAGCTGTAGTGACAGTGACACTTCTTTTTGCAAAGCCTTTGGACTACCATGGTGACCTACCTGGGACCTTGCCAGTCATTCTGTGTAAGTTTGACGCACTGAAAGCGGAGAATGATGGGTAGGTTCCCGGAAACGGTGGACGGATGACGATGAGTTAAGTTCAAGCAAGTTCCGAAAGTTTATTTAACGCCTCAACTGTATAATATGTTATGCAGCTCTCCTAAGCTTGTGATATACGCCTAACTCGGGAACAGAATGAGTTGATTGCAATTCTTCACAATCGAGGTTAGCCATGCACCAACTAGCATCCGCTACGTACGACAGTTTCGATGAGCCATGAAGGTTTTATGATGTAGTGAGCCTTTGTACCAGTATGCTCCCAGCGTGTAGAAAACTGGTTTTGTTTAAATATATGGAACACCTCAAAAGAGAGAGCCTTCATGGGACAACAGCTTATTTGAAAAAACAACCGGAATAGTTCTCGCTGAGTCATCATTTGTTGAAAACTTAGCATATTTACTAACCATGTTCAGAAACGGCATAAATCATCCCCGATCATACGAAAATTTGGTTGGCTAGGCAAGTGAACCGTCTCAGTTTTTCTCAGACAAGTAACGTTAGAAAACACCACAACACCGCAGCACAACAAGGCTGGGAGCAGTCAGAAAAGCAGCTGTCAGATGTTTACGAAACTGAATTGGAACGTGAAGTTTTCATTTGTTTGCTTCAACCACACAAACCCTTGTGTGACTCTGCTGGCTTCGTTACACTTGTGTGATCAATCACAATTTAACAGTCAAAATATTCTATTTCGAGGAGTGTTTCGACCCATATTCAAAGAACCAAGTCACCTTCCAGACCGTTTTCCACACAGTCTCGTAAACATGTATAGGGCTAGCAACTGAGTGCAATTTTGTCGACTGAATAAAACAATCCGTTGCAAACGGTGGGCCCTGGAAAATGCATCTATGTGCAAGTATTATTATTGAAATGGTGAATGACAGTCAGGGGAGATAGCGGTAAATAGTTTTATCATCTTTCATTTGTGCGGCTAGGTATCCTAGCTGTTGTTGTTACAGTTCAAATGCTGCTTTTTTGAAGTTAGCAGACATTTGGGGATGCACTTCATTTGAGCGTCCGTCAGGTCACGCATATATTTTGACTTTCTCCGCAGAACAATCCAAATGGGAACTCTAAAAATACGACACAGTCACGCTTGGTAGATACAGAATTTTCAACCGGCTGGTTCTACTGTAACTGTTCAGTTGATCTTGCAGTGGCCTGGTAACTGACCTGACTGCTTGGTTTTTAGGTGGTGTGAGGAAATTTGGGAGATAGGCGTGGTTCTTAGCAAGCTGATCGAAAAGGCACCGTGGGGTAGAAAGTTACTTCACCGGTGAATAGAGTTCAACACAGGACTGAAGAAATTTAAGCTCTAGTAGAAGTAACTGGTACGTTGTGGTCTATGATATTATGATGAGTTTGGTGGAAATAAGCAAAACGTAAATTAAAATTCATGTGGATTAATCAAATGCATATTCAAGTTAAGCTTTCGCATGCTATTTTGATTGTAAGTGGGCTGTAAGTAATCAAAAGGAATCATGTATCTTCTACAATACCCAAAAACCGAATTCTTTAAAACGACAAACTTACCGTGGAAGGTCATGTGGACTACAATTCCCCAAAAAATAACCTTCGGAAGTACCAAATACTTCTTGAATACAATATTAAATACAGCAAAGCACTTAGCATGTTTTGTGTACTGAGTGATCAGATCCGATGGTTTAGAGGTGTCTCTAAAAGCTCTTCTACTGTGTCAGGATTTTTAGCTCTGACTGGGGCGAGTGCACAAAACCCGAAATACTTCACGATACCATTACTTATACATACTAGCGCAGTGCAGTATACCTGTGTACTGGTCAACAACCAATAACACCCAGGACCTGACAAACAAGAGACTATTGCGCTAACTAGCCACATTCGAATGGGGGACTAAAAGTTACAATGGATTTTGGTATCTTAATGTAATAGCAAAAAAACACGTTCAGTAGTTAGCCACAGAGAATTCAACCAATGAATGGGTCCGGCGCCGAAGGCTGCTGTGGTCAAATTATGTCGGACCATCATTTGCCAAAAAGAGTGCTGTTTTCCGTACCTGATTCAGAGTGGCGCAAGCAGAGCGGAACTGGCATATTATCATTTATTTTTCAAGAGCATGGTCACAAACATAAAAAGTGAATGCAAGCGATGAATGCGAAAGAGTAACAGGAGAATATGGGAGAAAAGAGAGAAACGTCTCATTCGAAATCATGCCAAGGACAGTGCCAGT